GGCACAATCTCTCCTCAGCCAGCTAGAAGCTTAGTTTAGAAGAATTATTTTTGAATTCAAATACCCAAAATCTCGCAACCAGCACAGCCAGGATATAGACCAGTGGTTCTCAACCTGTGGGTCCTCGGGTGTTTTGGCCTACAACTCCCAGAAAGCCCAGCCAGTTCACCAGCTGTTAGGATTTCATTGAACTTGAATGGTACTATAGCAATATATAACAAAATTTGAACAAAAAATACATGTTCCTGGTTTGAAAGTGTTATTTCATGTTTAATCATGTGGTACTAACTTTGAAGGTAGTTGTTATACTCAAAAAACTTTGTTTTTGTGGCTGCCACAAACTATGTTGAATTGGTTGAGATTCAATGCGATATCCATTGAAAAACTATAGCAAAATATGTTGCAGGATGTCCCGCCAAAACAAGGCTTTTGCAGTTTAATAAACTTTTTCCGTGTTTTAATGGCAGAACCAATTAGGAAATGACATTTAGAACGCAGGAACAAAAATTGTGTTACATAGTGTAGACAACCCTATGGCAACGCTATCAGTTTTTTTCTGGGGCTAATAGTCTGTGACTTGCTCAGGGTCACTCAATAGGTTTCCATGCCTGAGTAAGGATTCAAACCCTGGTCTCCAGAGTTGTAATCCAACACTCAAACTACTACACCATCTTGGCTACATTCAGGAAGCAGCTTTGAAACATAAGAAGATATACTGGCTGCTGTCCTTCCAAGCCCAGAAAACTCTCTGACCCAGCAGAAACTTCCAAAAATGGAAGATATTTTCAATAATCCCCCCTTTTCCTCTGCAGCCTTGAGCTTCCCCTCTGCCTGAAACTACTCAAAGGGAGCCCAAACAGATGGGGAGAGGGGGTAGGATACTGCAAAAGAAAAAAGGAAATTAGGAAACTCACTTCTTTGGTCTTCTGTTCATAGAATCAAGACTGAATCAGTCTTCTGCAAATGGAAGACTTCAATGCATTATGAATAATTAAATAAATATAAACTTGGAAATGTGCATCTATCTATGATTTTATACATATATACAGAAATCAAATGGCAGGCAAGAGTTAATCTACAGCTGAAACAAATATCCTATTGTTCATTAGTCAACACCCTTCCCTT